AGTGTTTCATTTATTTATTTATTTTACCAGGTTCGTTATTCTTCTCATGTTTATTACTAATAATATTTTATTGGGTACATTTTGTTTAAGTTTATTATTTCATCATTTTTTTATATTTTTTATTTTATGAAGTTTATTGTATTATTATGTTTCTTATGTTTATTTTTTTTATTATCATTTGTATTATGTTTCATAAATGTATTATTTTATTTTTTATTATCTTTATTTCATTGTTTCTTCTGTTTATTTTTTTAAATTTTCTTATTTTATTATGTTTCATATGTTTATTATTTTATTATGTTTCTTATGGCAGAACAGTGGCTAAATTGTTAGCACTTCCACCTGGCAGTACTAGGGTCATTGGTTTGAATCCCAGCCACGGCACCTCCTGCCTGGAGTTTGCATGTTCTCCCTGTGCCAGGAGCAGACTAACCATTTGGAAACTCGGGCACTGCCCGAGGGCCTGGGGTCAGTAGGGCCCCATGAGATGCCCCTGGTTCCTTTTTCATAGGCTTTTTTGAGTGTGGGCAAGGACACATGATCCCCTATTGCCCGGGGACCCCATGAGTTGTCATTCCGCCCCTGCCCTGTGCCTATGTAGGTTTTCCTCCGGGTACTCCAGTTTCCTCCAACACTCCAAAGACATGCTGGTAGAAGGGGCGGACTGACCACTCGGGTACTGCCCGGGGTCAGTAGGGGGCCCCATGAAATGCCCCTGGTACCTTTTTTATAGGCTTTTTTGAGTGTGGGCGAGGACACAGGGGCCCCATGATCCCCTATTGCCCGGAGGCCCCATGAGTTGTCAGTCCACCCCTGGCTGGTAGGTTAATTGAATCTTGTCTAAATTGGCCCTTGTACAGGGGCGGACTGACAACTCATGGGGCCCCCGGGCAATAGGGGATCATGGGGCCACTGTGTCTATCCCAAACTCAAAAAAGCCTATGAAAAAGGTACCAGGGGCATCTAATGGGGCCCCCTACTGACCCCAGGCCCTTGGGCAGTGCCCGAGTTCCCAAATGGTCAGTCCGCCCCTGCCCTTGTATATGAATGTAAGTTAGGGACCTTAGATTGTACGCCCCTTGAGGGTTAGGGACTGATGTGAATGTACAATATATATGTAAAGCGCTGTGTAAATTGACTGCGCTATATAAGTACCTGAAATAAATAAAATTATGTTTATTGTTTTAGCTAGTTTCTGTATAATATTTTTTATTGTATTATGTTTTTTCCCAATATTTAATTTTTTCATTATTTTTATTTTACTGTGTTTCTTACATTATTTTATTTTTTCATTATTTTTTAGTATTTTTATTATGTTTCTTATTTTTATTGTTTTAGCTTTTTTCTCTATTATCTTTATGTTGTTATGTTTCTTAAATTATTTTATTTTTCATTATGTTTCTTACATTATTTATTTTAAAATTATTTTGTATTATTCTTATTGTATTATGTTTCTTTTTTTATTTTAAAATGTTTCCTACGTTTATTACTTTATTTTTTATGATTTTTTTTTATTACTGTATATTGCTTATGTTTATTGTTTTGGTTTCTTTTTCTATTCCTTATTTTTATTTTAATTGGGTTTCTTATTTTTTTCTTATTTTTATTTTATTATGTTTCTTACGTTTAATATTTTATTTTCCATTTAGTTTTCTTTCTATTTATTTTCATTATTATTTATTATGTTTCTTATGTTGCTTTTTTTTAGACTTTTACACTTTTTAAAACTGATTTAAGATATGTTTCCTATTTTATTATGTTTTCTTTTTTTTTATTTTTATTGTTGCTTTAGTTTTTATTTCTCCTTTTATTATGGGCTCATGCACTTTTTTACCTTACAGATCTGAACGCAGCTCTACTATAGCCAATGTATCTGAGCTCATAGTGGTGTTTCGCTCCCTTTAGAGCACCATTCAGCAATGTAAAATAAATGCCCAAGACTGGCTTACAAGATAAGTATTTTGGCGTATTTTATGCCGTTACACCTGGAAATATGTATTACCCTGGGTTCACACATATATGGATTTCAGTGCGTTTTCATGTTTGCAGAAACGCACTGCAGTTTATTTAACATGGTGTCCTATGGATCTGATTCACATCTGTGCATTTTGAGCTGGTGCAGTTTTTGGAAAGGGACTTTTTTTCCGGCAGCAGATTCCATTTTGCGTGTCATAGACCTTCTATACTAATAGAGTATTTTAATTACACCCATGTGCAGGAGCCCTATAAGAGGTGAATATGCTGACTTCCAGAGCCAGGGCACTCTGATGGGGGTGCCTGATGTAAGGGGGCATTCTGATAGGGGGCACCTCATGTAAGGAGGCACTCTGATAAGGGCCTCCTGATGTAAGGGGGCACCCTGGTGGGGGGCACCTGAAGTAAAGGGGACACTCTGATGGGGGTGTCTGAAGAAAGGGGGCACTTTGATGGGATAAATGAAGTAAGGGGGCAATCTGATGGGCACACCTGAAGTATCGGTGCACTCTGATGGGGATGCCTGAAGTAAGGGGGCACTCTGAAGGGCGGGCCTAAAGTAAGTGGGCACTCTGATGGGAGCACCTGTAGTAATGGGGCACTCTGATGGGACCTCTGAAGTAATGGGGCACTCTGATGGGGACGCCTGAAGTAATGGGGCACTCTGATAGGGACCTCTGAAGTAATAGGGGCACTCTGATGGGGGATGCCTGAAGTAATGGGGCACTCTGATGGGGACGCCTGAAGTAATGGGGCACTCTGATGGGGCACTCACTCTGATGGGGACGCCTGAAGTAATGGGGCACTCTGATGGGGACTCCTGAAGTGGGGCACTCTGATGGGGACGCCTGAAGTAACAGGGCACTCTAATGGGGACGCCTGATACACGGGGGCAATCTGAAGGGGACATTTGAAGCAAGGAGGCACTCTGAAGGGGACACCTGAATCAGGGGGCACTCTGAAGGGGATACCCGATGCATGGGGGCACTATAAAGGGGAGGACACCCGAATGCACGGGGGCACTCTGAAGGGGACACTTGATGCACGGGGCACTCTGAAGGGGACACATGATGCACGGGGGCACTCTGAAGGAGACACCTGATGCACGGGGGCACTCTGAAGGGGACACCTGATCACGGAGGCACTCTGAAGGGGACACCTGATGCACGGGGCACTCTGAAGGGCACACCTGATGCATGGAGGCACTCTGAAGGGGACACCTGATGCACGGGGCACTCTGAAGGGCACACCTGATGCATGGAGGCACTCTGAAGGGGACACCTGATGCACGGGGGCACTCTTTGAAGGGGACTGATCAGGGGCACTCTGAAGGGGACACCTGATACACGGGGGCACTCTGAAGGGCACACCTGATGCATGGAGGCACTCTGAAGGGGACACCTGATGCACGGGGGCACTCTGAAGGGAACACATGATGTAAGGATGCACTCTGAAGGGGACACCCGATGCACGGATGCACTCTGAAGGGGACAACTGATGCACGGGGGCACTCTGAAGGGGACACCCGATGCACGGGGGCACTCTGAAGGGGACACCCGATGCACGGGGGCACTCTGAAGGGGACACCCGATGCATGGGGGCACTCTGAAGGGAACACCTGATATAGGAGGGCTCACTGAAAATTATCACTGAATATTAATGGATTGTTATGGAATTTATACATGACTTATTTTTTTTTTTATAGACATTATAAATGACTACATACATTATATACAGGAACAAACATGAGATTCGGACCTCTGCTGGAAGAAAATTTTACTGACTTAAATTTTAATTGCATACCCCTGTTTTATACTAAAACATACTGATCAGGCATGCTAGAGTTTATTTTAAGTTTATTACACTTAAAGTGTTACTAAACCCACAACAGTACAATCAGTCTGTATATGCAGCAAAGCATGCTTGTTATACTCACTGTGGAACCTAAGGGGTTAATCCTCTGCATTGTGTAAAAAGGCTGTTTGATCCTGACGTCTCTGATCCTCCCCTTCTTCCAGTGTCCCTCCTCTTATCTCCTGATAAGACATGTCCTGTGGAGTCACTCTGCACATGCTCAGTTTGGTGTGTATTGCTAGAGAGGTTTTTTTTTTTCTTTTTTTCTTGGGAGAGTGCATGTGATCAGCCGATCAGCCAGTCAGCACTGTCCAGACAGAGGTCAAGGGTCCTGCATCCTCCTAGACCTAGAGCAAAATGAAAACTCCTCCTACAAGCTTTAACCAGTGCTCTGCCGGACACTGATAGCAGTCACAAGACTGCTCTAACTGCTGATAAGAATAGGTATTTAGCAGTTTGTATTTACTAAAATAATTGCATTTCCATGTTGTGTGTACTGTGGGAGACCAGATATAGTGAATGCAGGGTCCTGGGAGATCAGATATAGTGAATGCAGGGTCCTGGGAGACCAGATATAGTGAATACAGGGTCCGGGGGACCAGATATAGTGAATGCAGGGTCCGGGGAGACCGGATATAGTGAATGCAGGGTCCGGGGAGACCAGATATAGTGAATGCAGGGTCCAGGGAGACCGGATATAGTGAATGCAGGGTCCGGGGAGAGCAGATATAGTGAATGCAGGGTCTGGGGAGACCAGAAATAGTGAATGCAGGGTCCGGGGAGACCGGATATAGTGAATGCAGGGTCCGGGAGACCGGATATAGTGAATGCAGGGTCTGGGAGACCAGATATAGTGAATGCAGGGTCCTGGGAGGCCAGATATAGTGAATGCAGGGTCCGGGGAGACCAGATATAGTGAATGCAGGGTCTGGGGAGACCAGATATAGTGAATGCAGGGTCCAGGAAGACTGGATATAGTGAATGCAGGGTCCGGGGAGATCAACTATAGTGAATGCAGGGTCCGGGGAGACCAGATATAGTGAATGCAGGGTCCGGGGAGACCAGATATAGTGAATGCAGGGTCCGGGGAGACCAGATAAAGTGAATGCAGGGTCCGGGGAGACTGGATATAGTAAATGCAGGGTTCTGGGCAGGGGCGGACTGACAACTCATGGGGCTCCCGGGCAATAGGGGATCATGGGGCCCCTGTGTCCTTGCCCAAACTCAAAAAAGCCTATGAAAAAGGTACCAGGGGCATCTCATGGGGCCCCCTACTGACCCCGGGCCCTCGGGCAGTGCCCGAGTTTCCAAATGGTCAGTCCGCCCCTGGTTCTGGGTTTAGTAACACTTTAAGAAAGTAAATATAATATATTGATACCCCAATTCACACTTGGAGATCAGTGTTAAAAGTTAAGAAATACTGAACTACTGCCCATAGCAATCAGTCAGATCTCGTTTCATTTTCCAAGTACATACTAGAGAATGAAAATGAATCTTGGTTGGTAGCTATGGTATGTCTATGGACTGCAGAAAACGTGGAGATGACAGATCTCAGAGCAAACATGCCTGGGCATCTGAGTGTTCAGGTTTAAGAGGAAACCTGCTAATGAAAGTGTCAGAGGACTGTCAGATGGTGCCCACATGCTCACTGTCCTTAGGGGCTCCCTCACACTTGTGCACACAGTAACGCGCATTATGGCTCTCTGTTTTGAGGCAGTTCATTTGAATTTTAAGCTGATTTCAAACCATGATGTCATTGCTTGATGCACTTACCATTGAAATAAATGAAAATGAATTAAACACATGCCTAAAGACAAAAGGCAACATCATGATGCAGAGTAGCAGATTGCAACAGGTGTCAATGAGTATAAATGTGAGTTATGACATACATTGACATGCAGTACAATGCGCATTGTAATGCATGTAATAATGTGCATTAACTAGCTTTTATGGGGAATTAAAGCGATATTAAAGGTTCATTTTTTTTGTAAAATAACAAACATGTCATATTTACCTGCTCTGTGAAGTAAAGCTGGCATCCTCCTCTTCTCAGGGTCCCTCACCGGCGCTCCTAGCTCTTCCTTTCTGTCGGGTGCCCCCATAGCAAGCAGCTATGGGGGCACCCAGCAGGCATGTTCCTGAGTCGCTGCTCCATTTGCCCATTTACACACAGAGCTGCTGCTTGGCCTTGCCCCCCTTCTTCTCATTGGCTCACTGGCAGTGATTGACAGCAGCGGGAGCCATTGGATGTCTCAGCCACTGAGTAGGCAGAGACCCGGGACAGCAGTGGGGCTCAGGTGAGCATTGAGGGGAATGCTGCATACAGAAGGTTTTTTACCTTCATGCATAGAATTCATGACGTTAAAAAACCTTGAGCCTTTACAACCGCTTTAAGCATTTCCATTGATTTTAATACTAGATCAGGAGGAAAACCATATAGTTATCAATAGGCCCTAAAAGAACTGGCAGCACACCACAAAACACAAAAAAAACCCCACAAGTGAAGCATTTTCAGCGACACAAAGTACAATGCATGGAATATGAGCTGTAGTGCAGGTGCTTTGGCAGCTACTGTGTATGGATGTTGGGGTGCCACTTCAAATAAAAAGTGCTACAATGCATCCTACAAATGACTAAGCATCAGTCTTTGTTGCAGTAATAGACCACATTAAACCAACCTTTGTCTTCAGACTTTTTTTTTGCCCTGTTTTGCTTTTTATAAACCAGCCCCAGTAGATTGGTCTTATTTAGAATTGTACAGGAGTAATGTCACATTCAAGAGGCAACTCAGCACAAAGTTCTCAAGGGACATGAAGGTCTGTCCTTGAGAATAGCTACCAAAAGGACATAAGAGAAAAAAAAAATGAAGTATTTTTTGTCATTAGGCAGAAAAGCAATGAACAATATGAGCCAGGGCTTGTGGAACTCTAGCTGCAATAATTGATGTAAACAGTACCAGATATAAAAAGAGAGAGAGAGAGAGAGAGAGAACGTGCAGTGGAGCAAGTGAAAGAGAGCATATGAACAAGCAAGAGAAAGAGAGAGCATATGAGCGAGCAAGAGAAAGAGAGAGCATATGAACGAGCAAGAGAAAGAGAGAGCATATGAGCGAGCAAGAGAAAGAGAGAGCATATGAGCGAGCAAGAGAAAGAGAGAGCATATGAGCGAGCAAGAGAAAGAGAGCGCGTATGAACGAGCAAGAGAAAGAGAGAACGTATGAACGAGCAAGAGAAAGAGAGAACGTATGAACGAGCAAGAGAAAGAGAGAGCATATGAACGAGCAAGAGAAAGAGAGAGCATATGAACGAGCAAGAGAAAGAGAGAGCGTATGAGCGAGCAAGAGAAAGAGAGAGCGTATGAACGAGCAAGAGAAAGAGAGAGCGTATGAGCGAGCAAGAGAAAGAGAGAGCATATGAACGAGCAAGAGAAAGAGAGAGCATACGAGCAAGAAAGAGATAGCATAAGAGTGAGCATGAGAAAAGGACAACAAATATAAGATCAAGAGAAAAAAAAAGCATGCTTAAGAGCAAGCAAAAGAGAAAGCAAGCATATTAGCAAGCAAAAGAGAGAGAAAGAGCATAAGAGTGTGTGAAAGAAAGAGAGAGCATAAAAGAGAGCGAAAGAGAGACTGAGCATAGGAGTGCATGAAAGAGAGAGAGCGAGCATAAGAGTGCACAAAAGAGAGAACATAAAAAAGATCAAAGGAGAGAGCATAAGAGCAAGCAAAAGAGATAGAGAGCATATTAGTGAGCAAAAGGGAGAGTGAGCATAAGAGTGTGTGAAAGAAAGAGCAAGGATAAAAGCAAGCAAAAGAGAACATAGCAGCGAGTGAAAAAGAAAGTGGGCATAAGAGCATTCAAAACAGAGCACATAAAAGAAAGTGAAAGAGAGAGCACAGGAGGAAACAAAAAAGAGAGCATTAGAGCAAGCAAAAATGCTAGCAAAAAAAGCGAGCACAACCGTGAGTGGTAGAAAAAGATAGCATAAGAGAGGGAGAGAGCATAAGGGCAAGCGACAGAGAGAGAGCATAAGATAACTATCAAAAACATGAGTGAGTGTGAGAGAGAAGAGAGAGCATAGGAGCAAGAAAGAGTGAGCAGAAGAATGAGTGAAAGGGAAAGCGAGCATAACAGCACACAAAAGAGCACATAGGAGTGAGCGAAAGATAGACCATAAGAGCAAGCAAAAGAGAGAGCATACGAGCAAGCAAAAGAGATAATAAGAGCAAGCAAAAGAGCATAAGAGCAAGCAAAACAGAGCATAAGAGCAAGCAAAAGAGAGAGCATACTAGCAAGAAAAAGAGAGCATCAGAGCAGGCAAAAAGTGAGCAAGCATACGTGCAAGCAAAAGACAGAGTGAGCAGAAGAATGAGTGAAAGAGAGAGAGCGAGCATAACAGCACACAAAAGAGACAGCACATAAGAGTGAGAAAATGAGGGAGCATAAGAGCATAAAAGCAAAAGCAAGCAAAAGAGCATCAGAGCAGGCAAAAGAGAGGGCATACAAGCAAGCAAAATAGATCATAAGAGCAAGCAAAAGAGAGAGCATACAAGCAAGCAAAAGAGAGCATCAGAGAAGGCAAAAGAGAGGGCAGAGCAAAAGGCAAAGCAAGCAAAGAGAGAGAGCATAGGAGCAAGCAAAAGAGAGCATCGAGCAAGCAAAATAGATCATAAGAGCAAGCAAAAGAGAGAGCATACAAGCAAGCAAAAGAGAGCATCAGAGAAGGCAAAAGAGAGGGCAAGCAAAATAGATCATAAGAGCAAGCAAAAGAGAGATACAAGAGCAAAAGAGAGCATCAGAAAGGCAGAGAGGGCATAGAGCAAGCAAAAGAGATCAAGAGCAAGCAAAAGAGAGAGCATAGGAGCAAGCAAAAGAGAGGCAAAAGCAGAAAGAAGAGAGCAAGCATATTCATGGGCAATGACAGTGAGCATATGAGTGTGTGAAAGAGAGAGCACGCATAAAAGTGAGCAAAAGAGAGTGTGAACTTAGGAGCGTATTAAAGAGAGAGCGAGCATAAGAGCGTGCAAAACACAGCACATAAAAAAGAGCAAAAGAGAGAGCATAAGAGCAAACAAAGAGAGAGAGAGCATATTAGCAAGCAAAAGAAAGAGCAAGTATATTAGCATGCAAAAGAGAGAGCATAAGAGTGTGTGAAAGAGAGAGCATAAAAAGACAGCGAAAGAGAAATTGAGCATAGGAGTGCGTGAAAAAGAGCGCACAAAAGAGAGAACATAAAAGAAAGCAAAAGAGAGAGCATAAGAGCAAAAAAGAGAGAGAGCATATTAGTGAGCAAAAGGGAGAGTGAGTATAAGAGCGTGTGAAAGAAAGAACAGGGATAAAAGCAAGCAAAAGAGAACACAGGAGCAAGTAAAAAATAAAGTGAGCATAAGAACACGCAAAACACAGCAGATAAAAGAAAGTGAAAGAGAGAGCACAGGAGGAAGCAAAAAAGAGAGCATTAGAGCAAGCAAAAGTGCTAGCAAAAAAAGCGAGCACAACAGTGAGTGGTAGAAAAAGATAGCATAAGAGAGGGAGAGAGCATAAGAGCAAACGACAGAGAGAGAGCATAAGATAACTATCAAAAACATGAGTGAGTGTGAGAGAGAAGAGAGAGCATAAGACAGAGAGCATAGGAGTGAGCACAAAAGTAAGTGAAAGAAAAAGAAAAAAAGAGCAAGTGTGCGAAAGAGAGAGCATAAGAGTGATGCAAGAGTGAAAGTGGAAGCAAGAAGAAGAGAGATAACACAGGAGTGAGTAAAAGAGCATAAGAGCGTGCAAGAGCGAAAGCATAAGATAAAATGCAAGAGCATATGAGCGAGCAAAAAAAAGAGCATGCGGAGGGAAGGAAAGAAAGAGGGAAGGAAGGTCCACTTGTGAGCACTATGGAGAGTTTTCACCATTGTGCTCTATGCACACTAGCTTATTTTTAAGCTCCTAGCAGCTACTTAGCCTTTTTTTTTACTGCCCTTAGAAGCAAATAGTGCTGTCCTAAGTGTCCATGAACGCTATTGTAGGCTGGAAGCATTTTTCAAGCTTCAGCTTGTTATTTTTTAGTTTTTGGGAACGATTTGCCAACAGAGAAAAAAAAAGTTTAAATGCCAGTTCCAGAGTTTTTTTTTTGTTTTTGTTTTTTTAATAAAACAACTATTGCATTATTGTTGTGTGCATTTGGGGTGTAAAATACAGATGGAGAGGAAATCCCAGCTGCTAGTGATGCCCACACAGACAATATCCTATCCTGTACTGTTTCAGCTAAAGATGTCCCTGTGTATGGCCAGCATTACAATGGCCCCAAAGCAGGATGGTTGCCAGCTACAACACTGCAGCTCC